AGATTGAAGTTTCTGACAAGATTCCGGTGAGATTTTCAAAATCTAACAAGTGTTCCAGAAATCGGTGGGTTTTTCAATTTTTGATTGAATTTTTTGACAAAATTTTCAAAAATCGATGGGATTTCCAATTTTTTATTAAACTTTTCGGTAAATTTTTTAGAGAGATGTCAAAGGATTTTAGGGTAGAGAGAGAAAGGCTTTGAAATTTCTGAGGAAAAATGCAAAAAGGCTTCTTTTATACCATTCTAGAATGATACCATTTTGGTAAGCCACATGTGTCCTAACCTGACCCGATCATAAGTTTTTTTTTTTCATTTTATTTTTTATTTTTATTTTATTTTTATTTTATTTTCACCCATATTTTTATTTTCTAGTTTTTTTTTAAAAAGGGAAAAAACAAAAAAAAATTATTTTGTCATTTCTTAAGAAGAATGAGACTTAAAAAAAAAAAAAAACAAAACCAAAAAAATAAATAATTCATTATTTGGTAAATTATAAAATGAGCAAAACTTGAATAATTCGAAATCGAACTAGTACCATCCCTCGGATAGGCGTTGTGAGAATGCTATAATTTTTTTCATACGTAATTGATTTTCGAACTTAACCTCTATTTTACAGATCAACTTCAATTAGGTCATCAATCATATCTAATAAAAAAAAAATTTGTAACGACTCTTTTCATTTTAAGTCTAGCAATAAGTTTACGAATCTATATATTATGACACCAATTTTGATGGGTTTCATTTTGGTGTCAATTTTTTGTAAAATTGATGTCAATTATTTGTAAAAGCCCGTACTGAGTAGGTCTAGCAAGAAGGAAGCATGAGTGGACAAGGATCTTTTCCCATTGTCTATGGCATAACTTTGTTGGTTTTCGACCTTTCCGATTAACATCAAGGCTAGTATATCCGATAAGTGGCCTAACGCTCACACAGATATTAGATTTATATTGTTAGAACGGGGGTCCAAGTGGAAGCTTTGCAATATGGGCCGTTAGGAGTTGCCACGCCTTGTACTACGGGACGGGCCTAGTGCACCCTTCCAATTGTGACTTAAAGTTCTTTCATGGGCTCGGCTAGGGTTCATTCAGGCCTTCAAAACTAAAAAAAAAAAACAAAACAAAACAAAAAGAAAATTCCAAATAAAATGTTACTGTACTCGAGAGAATCTTCTTTGGTACTTCAAAAAGTTTAGTCGCAGGTTTTATCGAAATGGCGCCAAACGCCGCATAGAGATCAGAATCAGATCTGACAAAACCTAAGCACACGTGTACGGTCAGATTAAAGCTTCATCAATTATGCAGGTCACCAACTTATATAATCTCTTCCAACAAAAAGCTCAAAACCATAATTTAAAAAAGAAAAAAAGCAATTTCCATTCTGTTTAAATCTCGCCTGAATCACCGTCCGTACAATCTCCGGTTTGGTTTCCGGTTAATCGCTGCCGGAAAGTTTTCCCTTTATCCGATCATTGGTCGTCGCATTCGTAAATAAATCAATCGCCTCATTTCAGGTATTTCCAGAACGGAGATCTCTCCTTTGCTTTTTGTTATCCGTTATTGAAATCGTAATCCGCGTAAAAAAAATTTTAGGGTTAAGATTTACTTAGTTCTCAGCCTCCATTTAGTTAAAAAAAAATGAAGAAAGTCTCTACTTGAAAGATTTTATAGTTTTTTGTTTAAAATAAATGTTGATTTTCTTAAGTGAACTTCCCACTGTTTGGTACTTGAAAAGTAATAGATTTATGGAAGGTTTTTAATTGCCTTTCATTTCTAAAGCTATTGTATAGTTTGTGTAAGATTAGGATTATTTATTTTCAAAGGCTTTTTTATTGATTAATTGCTTGATTTTGCAGTGATGGTTTCAATTTTCAATTTTCAATTTTCCACGAAGTTTTACAATATCTGCTTCAACCAGGAGTTAGAAAACTTTGTTTTTTAGTGTAAAAACCGTACATTTGATCCTTTGTTCAATGCGACGTTATGTTTTTTTTTTTTAAAGTGGTATGAAGGTTTTCACTGTTGGACAAGAATCACAAAGTGGAAGTAAAATTTCAATCCAATGAAAGTGTTGAATTAAAGTGAGAAAAATGCTATGTTTATTATGTGCTGTAATGAAATTTGGAGCTTGGTATGTGCTTAAGTGATGTGAGAAGGGTTTTCTAGTTGCATTTTTTTGGAAATTTGATGTGTTTCTACTTTGTTGTGATGCTGTTTATCAGTTTATGTGTATCTTTTTTGGTTGATTCAGTGTTTGAATTTTTTGCCGGAGTTCGCCGGTCGCTTATTTGTTATGAAGTTTTGTCTAGTTAAGGTCATTTACACAAATTTTGTATCAACTAAAATATTGTGTTGGTAAAAAAATCTTTTTGCAATTTCAAATATTTTTAAAAATTTTTCTCAATAGTTGTAATTGAGTGCTGTAGGTGGAGGTGTACTGAAGAACTAGATATATGTGAGAATGAAGACAAATGTCATTTTGACCATTTTCTACTTCCTACATCATGCGTGTGTAGACAGTCTAGTGCCTACTTGCTGTCTTGATGGGACCTGGTTAATCTTGAATATTAGATCAATGAAAAGGATTTGACTGTTATTATTATTCTCTTCTACATGACCTTATGGTCTCGAGTTGTTTCTGATTAGGAATGTGTTACATATGACCGTCTTTCCAGAATCAGGGTTTTTGGATGACAAAAGGTGCTGGATATTTAAATGAAGGTGAGATGGGAAATGATAATTCATCTAGAATTGAGCCCAAGCGTTCTCATCGATGGTTCACGGATGGTCCTGAGACAGTCTTTTTTCCTAACAAGAAGCAGTCGGTTGGAGTTCCAACTACTAACTTATATTCCGAAATATTGAATTCAAATGTTTCTTCATGGGAAAATGCTTCCAGTTTTCATTCAATCTCTGGGCAGTTTGCTGAACAGTTATTTGATTCTGAGACAGCTCGGTCTGTGAATTATGATGATCAGAATATTCAATCAGTTAGCACAGAGAAAGTTGACATGGGGAGAAAGGTTAGCGAAGATTTATTTACAAATGACTCTTTATTCGGTTTATCCAAGTCTTATACATTGGAAGATCTTAGATCTGGGTTAAATTATGGGGGGATTAGGAAGGTAAAAGTCAGTCAGGTCAAGGACTCTGAGAATGTCATGGTTGTATCAATGGAACATGCATATGATACAGTGGATAATAACTCTGTATTAACAGTTCATGCTTACAACAAGGTGGAAGATGGTAAAATATCAATGGGTCTTGCTTATGACAAATGGGATGAAAACATCATGTGTATTGGTGACACCTATGAAAGAGAGAATAATGTTTTCATGTCAATGGGACAATCCTATAACAAAAGTGACGACAGCATTACCACTGGTCAAACATATAAAGAAAGTAACAATGCCAATGCAATGAGCAATACCTTCGATAACAGTGATAACAATTTCATGTCCATGGGTCAAACCTACAACAGGACAGATGATAGTTTCATAACTGTGGGTCACACCTACGGTAAAGGAGATGACAGTGGCACATCTATTAGTCATAGTTACAGCAGGGTGAGTACAATAATTTGTCAATTGGTCAGTCCTATAGTAAAGGGGAGAGTATCATATCTTTTGGTGGCTATGGTGATGATGATGATACAAATCCATCGGGAAGGCTTATATTGGGCTATGGGTTATTAATGGGTCAGCCCTCTGTCCAAAGATGTGATGCACCAAATGTGAAAAAGTTGGTTAAATCCAATGCCAATGCAATTGTTTCCACTGGTAATGTAACTGCCTCTGGAACTGATGTTTCTAGGAAGAAAGAAGACCTGAAAACATCAAAAAAGGTTCCTTCAAATAACTTCCCTTCAAATGTTAGAAGTTTACTATCAACTGGTATGCTTGATGGAGTTCCTGTTAAATATATTGCCTGGTCACGGGAGGTAAATCTCAGTTCATGTATTCTTCTTATAGTTTACCTTACTGTGGTGACACACCTGCTTCTTTTTATGTATTTTAGAAGGAGCTTCGTAGTGTTATAAAGAATTCTGGATATCAATGTGGCTGTCAAGCATGCAATTTTTCTAAGGTGGGATTTTTCAGTTTTTGTATGGAGGGAAGTTTTGAGGCAAAGTATCTATGTGCTGATCAGCTGGTTTCTACTTTCTAATAGGTGGTTAATGCATATGAATTTGAGCGACATGCTGGTTGCAAAACAAAGCACCCAAATAATCACATCTACTTTGAGAATGGGAAGACAATTTATGGGATCGTCCAAGAGCTCAGAAGCACACCTCAGAATATGTTGTTTGACGTTATTCAGACTATTACCGGTTCGCCTATTAACCAGAAGTCCTTCCGGCTTTGGAAAGGTGACGTAAACTATTGAATTTGAATGGCTTTTTGTTGTTCCTAAGATATGAATGGCTGAATGCTCCAACATTGTCTGTCTCACACTGATGAGGATAATTAAAAGGAAATGCGTCTTTTACAAGTACACTTTATTGATAAACAAATGTTTCCTACTCATTTTTCCTTTCTTTTTCAGAGTCCTTTTTAGCTGCCACTCGAGAACTTCAGCGTATACATGGGAAGGAAGAACAAGGGAAACAATTGTCACACAACAATCATATTCTTTTGTAAGGTAGGGTCACCTCTGTTTTGTGATCCTTTTGACCAGACTATGCCACTAACTTAACGTGGATGTTTTCTAATTTGAGGGTTAGGTACTATGTTAAAAGTAGGAGATCAGTGCCACAAAAATAGATACTTGTTATCGTGTATTTGGTTGTATCTCAGCAACATGTAGTCCATTGCTTAATGGAAAAGAAAGAGATGAAATTTAAATGTTACTAGTTTTTTCTTAGAAAGCTTTTATTATTCTTTTTTCTTTATATATCCTTTGGTGGTTCCCGTTTGTACTATATCATCTGCCTTTTATAAGATTCTACTATTTTGAAGTCCAAAACATCTTCTTTGAGGCATCTCAGTGTTGCATATTTAAAACTACTACTTAAATGGGCCCAAGCCATGGTTTCATGAAATGCGCTCAACCCTCAATTTCTTTACCCATTGGCGACGGACCAAAGGAGCAATGGAGGACCCTTGGCCTTATCCCATAGCGTTGGCACGATGCGTTATGTTATCAATTCATGCTGATTATTTTGAGAATAGAAAAACTCCATTAAGCTTAATGATTACAAATGCTCGATCAGATTTATCGCTTGAGGTATTGGGTGGATTACTGATCAAATCCTGCATCATGACTTTAGTCATAATATTTTATTAGTGTATAGTCGTATCGTTGGATGATAGTCAGATTCGCATCTGAAACCACGATTCCATAATTGCTTAGTGGTTTTTCGTCTCTTAGAGTAGTGGATGATATACGAGAAAGAAAAATCTAGACCGGAATTGAATCGCTTTCCTCTTGTAAATTTTCATCTCTGATTGAGGTTTCTCTACCGGCCGCATCAATCGTGATCGCCTGATGATCAAAACTGTCCTTTTGGTTATTAGCCATTTCTATTTTAGCTGGCTCTACTATTTGTTGGTTGATTAATGGGGGCGGAGACTTGTAATCCTTGCTTTTACCCCACAGCACAAGATGTAGACCCACAATTATGATGATAGCTCCAATCACCCTGTAAAATATAACATCAGTTTGAGAATTATTCTAGTGATATGAATTTGGAGACTTTACCTTCCCAGAAACATTTGTTCAGCCAGAATGAAAGAGGCCATGACAGCTACAATAACCATGCATAAGGGACTAAAAGCTGTAACAAACACCGGACCTCTGTATTTCATTATTACACCTTGAATGTAATAAGCTAGTCCTGAACATACGATACCCTGCAACCACGCAATTTTCAGATATAAGATGTTAAATAAAAAATTAAAAAATATATTAAGTCTTAACCGTTGGATTCAATAAAAATCAATGGCAGCAAACGAATAAAAGCTAAAATGTGCATTCTTCCCCAAAATATATTGTTCAGGATAATTCAAAACCTTGAGGAGAGGGTATGGATAAATTGAATCAGTTCTATAATTTCAGGACTCGAACGGTAAATGATCATAATTATGTTGAGATTTGAGTCTGGGAATGATTTCTTGTTCAAAAATCCATAAACATTTCAGAAGTGTATGGGTTGGTAAATTGTAAATATTCTTACACTGTATGCAGCTGTCAGTAACTTGGTGTCCCATTTAATAGCCCAGATGGCAGTATTTCCTTTTTCCATTATCAAAGCCGCTACGGTGCCCTCAAGCGTGCCCATCAGGCATATCCAAACTGTGAGAGAAAGCTCGGCAGGATACGTTTCCAGCGTGACTGCCTATAAATTACACACCCAGGTTAACGTCATGGTTGAGGAAATCCATCAAGAATTGTTACTGCAAAACTTTTTATGTACTTACTTGCAGAATCACGAAACAAGCATAGCTGAAGCAACCAACTGTGATCATTACACCGCCTTTAATCGTATGATGGAAATCTGTCCCATTTTTTGCTGCTGCTTGATGGTTAATTCTTCCTTTTGTCCAAAATAACTCGAGCACTGGTCCTTTCGTCAGTGTCATGACCATGGCTCCTGCAACTGTTGCAAGGGTTCCAACAATCTTACCATGGCTGCGGATGGATCTCAAGTTTACCTTCTCAAGCCTGAAGGGACATGATCAAACTTTTAGTTAGCTGCCATAATTAGAATAAGAACGCATGGAAAAATTAAAACAGTTTCTCCATGTTTATGCTTAAAATTATTGTCATATGATTCAGCTTCTAGGAAAGCCTTGGCCTGGATTCTCTGTTTTTCAGATTATAGTGGATGTTCAGGAACGAAACTGTTGCTATTTGGTTTGTTTACCTTAAAATCCAAGCCATTACAAAGGTAATGGCAGGAAGAATGTTATACATGGCTGCTGCAAAAGTTGCAGTCGTGTACTTCATCCCCACATAATACAAGTTTTGGTCAATGACTGGCCTGCCAGAGTTTAGATAAACATTGTCAGATGTCATCCTAAAAGGTTAAAAAAACAGAAAATTGTAATCTAATTTGGATAATTACTCCAGTAAGCTGAGCACCATTATTTTGGTGAAGATTGGCAGTGTCATCTTAGGCCTCACTTTCCTGTCAAACAAAAGTTGCTTCCATGTCAGTTTTCTCCGCTGAAATGCAGTACTAATTACAAACATTATATTGTTACAGGCATGTTCATTGAATGCATGTTTTTTGAGAGAGAAGAGATACTTGTCGAGAATGGCTGCGAAAGGAGCCATGATAACGGTGGCAATGGCATGACGGTAGACGACGAGTGCATAATTGCTCATCCCCTGGTTGAGTGCAGCCTTAGACAAGATATCCATTCCTGCAAGCCCAACTTGCAAGAAAATTGCAGCAAGGAATGGCTTAAACTTGCCCAAAGAACCATGTTCATGTCCTTGGTTACCCATATCTCCTATGAATTTATGACTGCTCTCTCGAAATAAAATAGCAAAGTTAATCAGCTGTTGCACTCATGAGGAATTTCTGCTATCTGTCTCTTCCTATTTATGTACGTAAGTTGCTCCACTTAATGGCATATTCTATCTAACATTTGACGCCCCATCACTCAACTCCATTTCTGTTGCAAAACAATTTGTCTCTGATACTAATAGGCCCCCCTCTCTTTTGATCCCATGGATCCGATTTCATGAAAATTATCATCAGCTCTTGATAAAGCTTAATAATTGTAACCACAAAATTTTAATTAAAATTACATTTATTCGAATGACATATTTAAAACAAAATCTATTTATTTATTACTAAGACTTTCTTAATTAGATTATTTTAATACTTTACTAAAATGTATACACTACGACAAGTCTACACATATTCATAAAAATATATATTTTTAATGTCGAATTTAAAAAACACTAAAAACTACACAACTTTAAATTTATCAATTCAAAAATTCTACAAACTCTATGATCAAACCATTCAGCTACACTATTCTACAAATTCTAAATCTTTTTAGAATTGAAACTGAGCAATCCTAATCTTTCCATTCAAGAACTCTACAATGCTCGAGCAATCTTCTGGTTGATCAAAAGTAGAAATGTTTAAACTTAAAAATTGAGAGTACTGCCCGATTTCTTTTTTCTCTCTTTAAGAGTCCTCCAAAGCAAGAAATTAGAACTGAAGCTGTTGTCACGATGAATTTCAATTGTGTAGAATCTTTGTCTAAACTACCCAATTATGTTGTCACTGTAACATGACCGAGTTCTTTTTTTCTCACAATCACCAAGCAAACCCAAGTAAATCAAGCAGAGATTTCAGGAGTTACAAAGATAGAAAAGTTGTTAAGAGGAGAGGAGGAATTAAACGTGGGTGGTTATTGCCAGTGGATCTATGGGCACCAAACATTGACTCAGAAAGCATTGCTTCATAGCTTTTGGTAGTTCTTTGTTCACGTACATTGGGTTCATGTACTTTATTACCAAGTCCAAGTCTTTTTCCAAAGCTTACCCTTTTTGGCTTCTACTTCCTGCATGCCTTCGTGTGTGCCACCAGTGAGTTTTCTGGGATATATGTATTTCTTTCTCAGATCCTTTAATTGTACTATGAGGTTACGTTGTGCTCTATCTTTTGTTCTAAACCTTAGAATTGAGGTGAATTTTGACTTGTAAGGGATCGGTTCTCTTTGCCATCCTCGATTTCTCATTTCTCTTCTTAAGAGTCTAAGAGTCCAGTTCTTTTTCGCAATATCTTTTCTCTTTCGTCCTTTTTTATTATTATTTTCTTCCTGTTTGCTTTCAACTTTTGGCTTCCTCTAATTTTTTATTCTCAATTTTACCCTCTATTTTTTTTAAAGACATATTTATAAAAGCATTTTGTGTGTCTTTAGTCGGAGGAAATCAATTTTTTTTTTTACATTAATAAGTTGTTACAGTATTGTTTAATTCTAAAAAAATTATCACATTCACATTGTGTGTTAGGAGTAGCACGATAACATATATATTAAGATATATTAAAAATTAAAAAAAAATTATGAGTTAATTTTTATTTTTTTTATTGAATTAAAAATTTTATTTTTATAAAAAATGAATTGCTATTAATAAATTGATAATTTAATTCAATTAATTTATAAAAATATTTTTAAAATATGACATTCAATAAGAATATAAACATTTATAATTTTTTTATTTTGAAAGTATAACTTTTGTTATAAAAAATAACTATTAACTAAATCCTATTTTAAAAGCAAATTAATACTTAAAATATAATAGGCAACGAGTCTCACGTGAAGGGTGCAACTTACCCGTCAATAGTGATTACTAGTGCTTGATTGTGACGGCATTAACTATGGAAATCAGCCTACCCCTGCAGGCACCAACAAAGGCAAAGTCGAAAACATCAATGCCAGCTGAATTATTGGCTGTTTCCTTCATTAATTTTGTAGACGCCAGTGACATTTTTTTTAATATTTTGGTGCCTTTACGTGGTTGAGGAGTCCATGAACTGGTGGAGTTGCTTTTGTAATTTTCTCCCAAAAGTTGCTTAAAGAGTGTTTCGTGATTGGTCTGCATTACTCCATGAATATAACGTAAGTTGAATAAAGAGATTCCCAACTGAGTGCGGACATACATCCACTCTCAGATGAACAGAACTTCTTGTCTTAACAACAAGATTTGGGTTTTTTCTTTTCAACTTTAACCTTTTCTGTTTGAAGATTTTTTGGGCAAAGACAGGTCATCAGGCCATGCCAGGTCAGGGTCTAAAACTTTGTTTCTGCATCAGGTATTTTTATGTAGCCCATAGATTACTCCTGAGCCATTTTTGCTTATTCATATTCCACTCATCAAAAGGAGAATGTGGATAGGACGAAATTGCCTTATATTGAAATCAAACTCCATTATTGAAGGAGATGATTAAGAATTTGTTTTCTTTTTTATTTTGCTCCAACATGAAAATCTCTTTGAGATTTCTTTTTTTTCTTTCTTACTTTATTCAGCTTAATTTGTTGTTCATTTGTTTTGTTGCAATCTTCAGAGGGAAAGAGGACTAGTCAATGGTAAAAAAAGCCTTAATGTTGTTTTCATTTCATGGCTCACGCTTCCACTTGCACAGTTTGTTTCCTTATGCTATATATATATATATATATATTGGCACCAAGTACTCCACAATCCCAGATATTTCTGTTTTAATGAAATGTAGGTCTGATGGAGTGGAAACCTGTCCCGTGATTATCCACTGACTGCCACTTAAACCTAATGAATTTAGTGGTTATGTTGAAACAAACTTACACCTGTGGTCGTAAAGGAACTGAAAAAGAAATCTCTAAAAGCCAGAGAAAAGAGAGGGAAAGCGGCTTTTAGAGCTATGCCTGAGCTATTTCATTATTGCAGCAGCATCCAACTTGATATGTATAATTTCTCAAGCAACCCGAATCTTGTACTAGCAAGCAAAGTCATTTAGTACAGATTATATGGTGAGGAAGATTACAATAGGGTCAATTTTAGATGGATGTTTAGACTGAAAACAGCACTAGAGGTAAAATTAGCTATTAAGGAAGGATATGTATTTAGATGCAGTAATTGAGACAGTCACTGCCCAAGAGTCCAATGATTCATAAGACTTTCTCCTTCTGGTTCCAAATAGAGGGGCAATAAAAGTTTTGGCTCTCAACTACACCGCTGTGGTGCTATCTAAATGTATCTTGCAACGCAACTAAAGACTAAAACACTCTTGGATTTAGGTGCAGTGGAATCCAAATGAAGCCTTAGTCAAAATCGGATAGCGTCTCTCACTCTGAGTGGCATCGGCTGCTCATCAATTTGATTCAGAGTTGTAAATAGTCCAATATTGGATTATAATCTACCCGTGGATTAGGATTCTATTAAGCTTTATAGAGTAGCAAACGTCACAGATAAATATCCCATTTCCACCCAAGCTAGTTGAGGAATAAAATCTTTGAAATTCATTCTAGTTGCAGCTGTAAAATGTTTTTAAGATAAACAGGACATGGCTCATTCTAATGCCCGAATGGTGATGTCAGAAATGCTTCTTTGTATTAAAGTAGTAGTATAAAACAATGAATATGATGCCCAAGTTTGGTACATAATCAACTTTAGATGGCAGCAGATGATTCCGCATTAACAAAGGTACCAAGAGAATCCGACTATGTACATTAACAAAGGTACCAAGAGAATCCGACTATGTACCAAACTTATATTCTCCAGATAGACGGCTCATCTCCAATTACAAATAAAAATCCTTGCAATGCCACCTATAGGCAACGCCCTAGGCCAAGGAGCCAAAACCAACCTCTCCTCAGCTACCAAGAGAATCCGACTATGTACCAAACTTATATTCTCCAGATAGACGTCTCACCTCCAATTACAAATAAAAATCCTTGCAATGCTACCTATAGGCAACGCCCTAGGCCAAGGAGCCAAAACCAACCTCTCCGCAGCCACTCACAATGAAGGAAACAAGTCAGAGAAATGAACAACATAACCACACCAATAAGATTACCAATTGATTCTAGACTAGTATTGGGGCTAGGGGCTAAATCAACCGAGTCAAGCCGAGTTTGCCTCTGTTCAGGCTCCGATCGTTTGGCAGGGAAGAGGGAGAGGTTGAAGCTCAAGTCTTTCAAGTTGGCAAAAGAGAGAAAAATATATGAATGGAAAAAGGAAATTCAGATAATTTTCCAGTAATAATATCTGTCAAATGCGTTGTCATGTGCATTTCGAAGGCTCTCTCGTGTGAGGGATATCGAATTTTTTGAGGAGACAAATTGGGGGGTTACTGTACAATCCAAGAGGAGAACGTGTATAGAAAATTCCTGGGTATACATTTTGGATAAGATGGCCTTCCACTTTTATGCACCTCCTTGATTCTCTGGTTTCTGGTCCTGATTCATCTTAAAGAGTTTTGAGTAAATCAAGTACGAGAGGTCTGTTTGTAAGTTGTACGGTACTCTTCAAATTGCACAAACGTATTGGTTTTGATTATGCTCCAATTCTTGGTACTTTTTCCATAATCCTCACCAAATTACTATAGCAATTCTTAGTTTCAACTCCAAATATCAAAATGCTAGACAAACTGGCTTTCAAACACGTTATTTAGGAAAAAATAATCTAATATAATTAATTTTGCAAAATAACGAGGATCTAACATTTCACACCAAAGAGTAGCATATGTAAAAATAATTATAGGCAGTAAAGAATACAAACACCAACAATATAGTTGTAACAAAATTAGTTTCCCCGGACCAAAACAGCTCCTAGATTAGAGAATGTATCCTTCAGATCTCACTCTCAAAATAATTTGTTCAAGATCCGCAGCAAGCTGATTTTTGAGCAGCTGCCGTGGCCCCTCCTGCCTGGTCTGGTTGGTTAATTTTGATCGTCTGTGGCTGCAAAGAGGAACAAAAAAAATTGACAACAATATCTGAATTAAAAGATGTTAAAGAGATAGATTTGCATAATTATAGTATGCATGTGTTGATAGAAAAGATGATATTTTGAGTTAAAGAAGCCATACCTCAGCCCTCGGGTCACTATCAGCAAGTCTTTGCTTAATGTCCCTGGCTATTGAAAAGAAAACCTCCTCCACATTTAAGTTTGTTTTTGCACTCTGCATGATAGATTGTGGCTCTTGAGCATAGAGGAAAGATCAACTAAACATCAAAAGTAACTACAAAGTCAGCAGAAAAAATTACTTACAGTCTCAAAGAACTTGATGCCATATTCATCAGCAAGAGCTTGGCCCTTTGAGGTAGGGACAGCCTGAAAAATAAGTTTCTAATCAACTTGACAAGAAAAAATATCCAAGGCAATATGGCAAACAGAAGGGCAACCACAAATGCATGCAAACACAAGCACATGGAAGAGAGAGAAAGAGAAACAGACCCTTTTGCTTTCATCCATGTCAGCCTTATTACCCACAAGAATCTTGTTGACATTGTCTGAAGCATGCTGTTCAATATTACGAATCCAATTTCTAATGTCTAAGCAGAAACGGATATCAGTTCAGTTGATAAGATAATTATAATGGAGAAAGAATAAAATTTCAAATCACCAGATAAGGAGTATACTTTCAGGTTTCAACGTTGCAGGAAATTGAAAGTTTGGAAAACAAGCAAATATAAGTGGAAACACTACAACCAGTTCTAAAGATTCAAAGGTGGATAAGATCGAACAACATATGTATGGAAATCCAAAATCAAAATGATAAAAAGTTAAGTTCAGTAATTACTATTGAAAGATGACTCATCAGTTACATCATACACGAGCAAAATACCCATGGCTCCGCGGTAGTAAGCTGCACAAAAAGAAAATATTATTTAATTCGTCTATCAACCAGACAAGACTCTAGAAGACAATAAAATCTGGATGCATTGATGAGTGTAGACATCTGGAGCAAGTAAAATAAAGCGAACACCCCCATGCCCAGCCCAAAAGGGTAAAACAAGAGAAGTTTTAAAAAAAAAAAAAAAAGAAGCAAGCAAGCAACCATGTTGTGGGGGAGGAAGAAATAAAACGCGACGTATAGGTAAAATTTGCAACTACCTAAGAGATAATACTAATAGAAAACAACTTCAATCTAAAGGTTAAGTAACAAGAATCCAGAAAATATGAGAGGCTAGGCAACTACATAACTGAAAGAATTTCAATCCTAACCATAGGTTGTTTGTAATTTTATTTCCAAGTCCTTTCACACAATCCGAGAGTATGACAATAGGTGGGTTGGAAAGCGTGAGAGAGACAAAGCACAGAAGCATACAAAGTCCTAACTTTCTAACAAACTAAAAAACCACACAGAAAGGGAATTGGAAAGCAACAACAATTTTGAATCAGAGATGTTATTAAATTTGACAATATTAGAGTGAGAACAAATGGTAACTCAAATCATTTAATAACACTCAGAATTAATGGACTCAAGTAAAATGATGCACAAGTCATGCAATCAAATTTATTACCAATCAGATAATTTATAATTCTGATTAGACAATTCATTTCTAGTCAATAATGCCTTCAAAGCCCAAAAACTAACCAGTTGTAATTGTTCGAAACCGCTCTTGCCCAGCAGTATCCCAAATTTGCAGTTTGATTCTTTTTCCATCGAGCTCTATAGTCCTTATCTTAAAGTCAATTCTGCCAAAGTAAATGCAACCCTATTAACCCATACACCCTTTTATAACAAATGTAATAATAACAATAAGACCACTACACTGCAATTAGAAAAACACCTACCCAATGGTCGTGATAAAACTTGTCGTAAATGAGCCATCCGAAAAACGCAAAAGGAGGCAACTCTTACCCACGCCTGCCCAACAACACAATAACATAGTAAACAGACATATTCATAACTCAAATTCAAAAAAAGTGCAGAATATCCAGAAAAACTCCTTTAAAATCACTACAATATCACCTATCAATCCCTAATTAGAGGCAAGTAAAACTATTTGTGGTGGTCGATCGCATGAATTAAGTAAACGTTCCCTTATGCAAATGTACATGCTATGACTCCATGATATTCATCATCAGTAACACTAACCGAGACAGAGTATTCACATGGCAATATGCTATATTAGGACAGAATAAATTAATAAATACAACCTAAAATATAAGATGAACAATGCCATTAGTGTAGATGCACCATAAAAGAAATAAAACAGACTTTTTTTTTTCGAATCAACCTCGTTTAACGCAATAAAATCTCCGTATTAAGATAATCTATAAACCTAAAATGAAGTTTAATCTAAGATAATGATCTGAAAATGCACATCACGGTCTCACATCTAGGTTTTCTATATTCAAAAAGAAAAAAATCAAATCAAATCCTTTTAAAGAGCCCTAACATTTCTCAAAAACAATGTGGAATAACGACTAGAACGCATTACAAATCAAGATATATCTATATTTAGATATAAAGAGAACAGAAATAGTTACCGCTGTCGCCAATCAAAAGGAGTTTTATGAGGTAGTCGTAATCGGCTCGAGCTCTTGCAGGTGGAGCAGCCATCGAAATAGAAGAAATTTATCGAAACAAACAAAAACGGGAGAAGAACAAATAAACCCTAGACCCAAAAATAAAAAAGCTTCGACGTTAATAATCAATGTCAAAAAAATTTTTAAAAAAAAGTAAAAGTAACAGAAATAAAATGTTTTTAAATTTTATTTGGTGAGTTGAAAGGAAAGCAACACCGGATCAGGAAAAACAAGAGTGAGATCTGGTGAAATTAGACGAGAGAAATGAGAAGGGAAGCGCCTCTGGTACGTCAGCACCGGTTGGCCGCTGAAAAAAAAGTGCCTCTTTTTTTTTTTTTTTTAATTTTGAGAGAGAGAAAAGGAAAGAAAAAGTAAGATGGGAGTATATTCAAGAAATAAGTTATTGGGTTCCACTCCCAACCGTTGGATTCATATGTGTGGATCTGACGGACGATGATTTTTTTAATTCGTCAACGGACAGAAAATTGCTGATTGAAGAAAACGACAGGCTTTCCTAAGCTACTGGTTAAACGGCAGCGTTTAGCCGGTGCTGTATGTGTTGGATTTGGATATCTAACAGCGACGACGCCGCAAGCAAGGAATGCACTACAGCACTAGATATTAAGATAATAAATATCATTCAAAAAATTTTAAAAAGTTCTGAAATGCCTGCTCATTGAAGATCAAGAATCTTATAGACTAAAATATTAAAAAAAATTTTCCGAAATTTATTATTATTTAAATAAATTTTTATATTTTTATTAAACTCAATTAATTTTTTTTGGGTATTAAGTAAATCTTTATTTCAAACAAATAATTAATTGATGTTAAAAGCTTATTTAAATATAAATTAAAGTTTAAATACTTGTTTGGATGTAAATTAAATGTTAAAGATTTTTTTTAGGTGTAACAAACATATAAAGATTTATTTAAATAAAATGATAAAATCTAAAGATATTTTTATTATTTTAACCAATTGTATATGAAAAATGTAAGAATTGTCAGCTTAACTTTTTTTTTTATTAAGGAATATTTCAATGATTGAATGTTTTCCCCCTTAATGTGATTAATTAGTTATGATCATAATTAAACCATATTGCTAAATGCTACATGTATCTTTTTTTCAAATTCCAATCACCTAGTATTAAAGATATATAATTGTAGAATTTGTTAAAAGATTGTAAAAAAGATAATTTTTTATAAATTTATGACATCTGATATAAATAATTTTTTTTGGAATCAATTTGAAAAAAATAATGTATTAGATGAAGTCTAAAAATATTGGATAAAATATACAAATAGTAATTCAATTTTAGGAATCTTTTTAAAATAGCCACTTAAATATTAATTTTTAACTTAAACATTTAAGTTTGAATTAGTATTTTTTTTTATCACTCAATCATTGATGTCTAATGCATGTGTTGACATAACATCGTTACATTAGTTGTTAGATGCCACGTGACACTATCACATCATCTGACAAATTATTTAGCATTATTATGTGACATTTATAAATTAAAAAAAAAATTGGTCACTTAACTTTTTAAAATTTTCTATTTTGATACTTAATTTTAAAAATTTACAATTTGATCATAAACAAAAAAGTTCTTAATTTTTTATTAAAAAAGGAAAGAAGCATTTGATATTTTTATTGCATGAAATTAAATTGTAAATTTTATTTTATTGTAATTATACCATTTAAATTTGACAAATTGATGACTATTATCCAATTACCAAAAATACTAAAATAGCATTACTTCAAAATTTTGTCATTCAATTCATCCAAATAAATTCAAGTAAATATTTCATTTTACATAATGTCAAAATTCTATTCACAATAAAAGTTCATAATTTTTATTTCATATAATAAAATATTAAAATAAATATAGATAATATAAATTTATTGTAATTAAAATTTTAACACTATGAATATGAAATTTATCAATATTTCGATTAATAACATTTGTGAAATTTATTAATATTTTGGTTTTTGCTGTCAATGACTCATTATCACTGTGAATTTCTATTGAGTTGATCACCAATGTTTATGAAATTTAATATAATAGATTATTTTATTATCTATATTATCTATTAAAATATATTGAAATAATACTCAAATAAGTCATTGAATTTTAAAAAAAATAAACATTTAATATTTTTATTGCCAAATTAGATTATGAACTTTTATTTTATCATAGTTATATAGAATAATATTAATCAATTGCCAAAATTATTAAAATATTATTATTTAAAATATTTTTTGTTTAGTTAATTCAAATAAATTCGAGTAACTATTCTAAATTTTTACAACTTGATCACTAATATTTATGAAATTATTAATATCGAGATGTTACCTTCAATATAATTTTATAACAATTTAATCACTAGCTGTTTGTGAAATTTAATATAATAAATTATTTTATTTTATTTAATTATATATATTTTACATTATAAAATATGAAATACTTATTTGAATTTATTTGGATGAGCTAAATGTGAAAGATTTGAAGTAACATTATTTAATAATTTTACAAGTGAATAATATTATTTCATTTTTCAAATTAAAAATGGTATAATTACAATAACATAAAAAGTTTATAATTTAATTTTATGTAATAAAAATATTATATTTTTATTTTTATTTTTTATAAATTTTGAGACTTATTTTTTAGTGATTAAATTATAAAATTTTAAAATTAAGTAATCAAAATGTTAATTTTTAAAAAATAGAGTGACCAAAATTTATTTATTTTTTAAATTTGATAATAACGTGTCAATTATATCGTATAACTTATCAAATGATATAATAGTATCACATAACACCTGACAATTGATATGGTATTGTCATATAAGCATGCCATTAATCATAACTACTGAGTGATAAAAAAAATACCTATGTAATTTAATGATTATATTAAAATGATAATTTTAGAAAAATTCTAAATTTAAAAAAAAATTCTCTAAATGTGAGCGATTATTTGTGTATTTTATCGACAAAATATTTTGTTGCTAAAATAATACAAAATTGACTATATTATATTTAATGGTAGAAGATAAAGACATAAAAAATATGCATATTTTGTAAGATTAAATTTTTTAAAATTTTTATTGACAACTTGTACTATTGCTTAAGGTTTTTTTTTTTTTTTTTCTAATTACAAGTGATTAAAAGTTAGTAATAAAAATAAAAAAATAAACATTGAAAAAGTAAAAGCATAATATTCTATTAATATGATATTTGTGGCAGGCTGCCAGAAATATTGTACCTGCTGAACCGATGTGACTGAAAATTTTATCAGTAATAGTAAATGAAAATGATTATCAGTACCTGTTGGGAGCTAAAATATCTAGAATGTCTTTAGTAGATTCGGTCCATAGATTTAAGTTTGAATTTTTCTTTGCATTTGAAATTTGATTAATTGCAACTGAAAAAAACTAAAGTTTTCTTAAAAAAAAAAAAAAAAAACTAAAGTTCCATACACCCACCTTGTGGTTGGAAGAAAAAAATTTTGGGTGGAAAAGAAAATTATTTTAAAAGAAAATAGTTTCTTAATGATATATTTTTTTAAAGTTTATGGTAGTTTTTAAGAAAAAATAAATAATTTAATTTTAAAATTATATATATTTAAAGTTAAAAAATCAAAATATCAATTATTTTATTATTTGATACCATGCTTTAGTTTAGTTTAGTTTTTTTTTTTTTTTTTTTTTTTGCATTTTGTACACTTGAAGTGATGTCAATTGTTTAAGTGACATCGAATTCAATCAATTTTTTTTCTTTTAAATTGTAAGAGATTCTTAAACTTTGTTTAATATATTTTTTTAATTTATTAAATTTATTTATGTCGAAATTAATGAGTTTATAAAAATTCTCCCATAATCTCTCAATAAGTTTTTACTCGAAACAAAAAAAAAATTATATAACTATAATTCAATCAAATAGTATAAATAGAAAAATTATCTACACAGAAGAAGTTGGGCTTAGGAGAATCAGCTACTCGGACCAACCCAAACTTTTGTAACCTGCATTATGGATTCATAGTTTGGTGTGTCATTCCAGGCCTAATTCAGATGGATGAACTCTAATTTACTAGAATTTCAATTTGAAACATAATTTAGCTCAAGTAGCAAGGGAGAGGAGAGTCAAGAAATGGAATAGAGATTCTAGATTTGGTTGAGGCCAAAAAGTTTGTTTAACTGGAGTTTACTCGAAAAATAAAGATTTGTTTAAGTTTGGTGTCTAAGATATGTCGTATTATATGCCTATTTTAATCAGAAACAATATAATATAATATAGTTTAGCTACCGATTCATTTTATTTTCTCTTTAAAGGAATATTATAACTTGTTCCTGATTACTAAAAAAAATGTCTTAAGTCCCGAGACTTGGCCACGAGGAAACAGAGATGGGCCAAATCGTGGCAGGTGGTCAGTGGGAACAGTTGCTGATGGTTTCAATGGTGACTTTATTGAGAAATATAGAAACACAAAATGGCAGAATCACATAACTTTTACAATTTTAAAAGCTTGTATGAAAAATGTCAAACGAAATTTGTATGGAGCGTCAACTAATTCCAACGCAACGCGGCATAGCAAGACCTTTTAAAATCAATCAGTTTGACGAACAAACATATCTGTAATTAAAAATTTTGACTAATGGAGTTTGAAATTAGAAAAATAGGAAACAACGCCCTCCGCATGCACATGGCAAGCATTCACATTTTAGGACCCGACCAATACGATCTACTTTATTACATGAAAAGGCGATTATCAACCGGGCAAAAGCTCGCTCGCCATCTTTGAAGCCCAAGCTGACCATGAGATTGCCATGCCCAACAAATTCCAAATACTTTTAGAACAGAATCGTTCCTTCCGCTTGATGGCTGATACCATTTGGGTAGTGGAACTGGAGGCTTTGCACGCTAGCTTGTGTTTGATGACGTTGGGAATCCAAAAAGTATTGTAGTCTTTTTTTTATTATTATTAGAGATTGTTAGCCGATAGTTAGAGATATTTTAAATATTTTGGCCAATCGATATGTTAGACCGACCTGACATTTTTATAGCTATGTCATTCCAGCCATATCACTTTTGTCTTACACAAGTCTCTCGCCTTCTACCTATAAATATGGACATTTAGGTATTATCATTCCATTTGATCTTATTTCCAACTCTTTACTTTTCTCTCCTTCTGATCTCTTCTATATCGGTTTCTAACTTGCGTGCTAGATTGTAAATGCAAAAAACACTCTCTACCTTTACTTCTAATTGCTTTTTTTTTATTTCTTATCTATTTAAGAATACCCTTAGGTCGGAGTTTGACACAAACTTTAAGCGTGCCAAGTAAGGGCTTTCTATCCATCAGTAAAGCC